CCACTGTCGCTTCACTATAGTGTGACTGTAGCGTCTTCGACGCTACAGCTACAGCTTCACGCTACAGCTTCACTGTAGCGTCTTCGACGCTACAGGGGGAGCCGCGCACTTCGTGCGCGGCGGGTCATACAACGTATGACAAGGTGATTTTAGAGAATACGCCGGTAAAATCTCTAAAAAAGTGTGTATCTAGAGCAAAACGCGCAGTTTTGCTAGTACTTTAGTTAAGTTTTCGAAATTGTCCCACGGCCACATTCAAACGACGATTTGGCGTTCCCCTAAGACGGCGCCCCCCTGCACAGCGGGGTGAGCAGGGCCTTTCGTTACGCCACTGCTTCAGTTAAGAATGCAAATGTAGTTAGTTGTTGTATAGTATCTCGTCGTGACCCACATTGTCGTTTCACTTAGTGTTCACTTATTGTTTATACGATACAGGCGGGCCATACTTGTATCACGTCGTGACCCCCACGGTCGTTTCACTATGGTGAAAACTCCCCTGTATAGTTTCTACGATACAGGGGGAGCCGCGCACTCGTGCGCGGCGGGTCATACAACGTATGGCAAGGACTAGGAGCAACGATCGACGACGATGCGTCGACGATGATGCATCGACAACGATGCGAAGCAAGAATGCTGGTTTGCGCGGCGCGTCGAAGCGGCGAAGTCCTCCAAGGAATAACCCATAACCATACTTTAAGAATGACAAATTTAGTCTACGATAAACTTTTGACTAAAATTGTTGTTAACCAAATTTCATGTGACTAAATTTTTTGGCGACTAATTTTGAAGTAGACCAAAATTTTAGTATTAGAATCAATTTAGAATTAAATTTTATTGACCTTACATTCTTTATTATATGTTTTGTGTTTATGATCCAACCGTTAAATATTGCATTGCTAACTTTACACATAACAGGTCCCTACTGCATGCGTGTAATAAGAAATTGTATGCTATGATATGTAACTAATGTATGTAATGTTGGCTCGCCGTTGGAATGTTCCCAGATCAAGAATATTCCTCCTTACCAAAATACGGGCGTACTGAATGGTGTAAGTTACCTGGGGACCTCAGGCTATTATGTTATAGAGATTTGGCGGAATGACAGGCTGAGTGCGGCCCAGTAAGGTGTAAGTTACAAGATCAGGCGCGCGGTGTATACGTGGGAAAATGTATGATACATGTGTTCCGTTGTTTGTACTTAGTTCACTATAAAGTATGACTTAATATGCGGAATTGAAAAAAAAACAAGCTTAATAATGGAAAAATCAAATAAATGGAATGGAAAATGGTCTTGAAAAGCCAAAAAATTCGACTAAAATTGTTGTAGACTAAAAATGTGCGAAATTTGTGCCCAAAATTATATTTACGGTAACCAAAATTATAATAATAACCAAATTTATTGTGACCCAATTATTTGTTGGCCCTAAGTTGACGCGGACGGATGTTATTCGTTTAAATTTATTCCAGCCTTTAATTTTGATCACAGAAACAATAAATTTTCACTGATGGAATGAAACAATAAGTTTTATTTAACATTCCTTTAAATTAACAAGCCGGGAGTCGCAGAGCAACGATCTCGTCAGAATGCTAGTTTGCGCGGCGCGTCGAAGCGGTGGGGGATTGGGAGCCGGCTCAAGCTGATCCCTCCAAACTACCGATTACATTACACCCAGGGCCTTGTAAATTTAATGTGTAACACTTTTTATGTTACAGGCGACAGCAAACAAAAACAAAAACTTATAACATGGGTGAAACAGGACACCACACGTGTACGATCTCAGCCGCGCAGTATCACAACAGTCAATAGTTCAAAGGGTCCTGGACCCCCAAATCGAGGCAAATCATAATAGATTACCTGTAGTGGGATGCGTACGATGTGCTTTGTAACGTTTACAATTAACTATGTGTTAAAACTGCACGGCTGAGTAGTCCAGATGTAGGATTGGACTCCCTACAACACACAATTTCACGAAGATCATGCGTGCGCTTGTAGCGCGATGCACTACTGGGTCGCGCGCGCGCATCCAATAATTCTTCTCGCAGATTTATTTATTTAGATCGGCAGATCGGCGAGATGCGAAGGATTGACATCGTGAATCAAGCGTGCGCTTACATTAAAACGTATAATAGTAAACGAAGACCGGCCTTTATATTGCGATTTGTTATTTCCTAACACTATTACTAATTACTATTTCTATTTTAAGCACCAGCCACCAGATAATAATTTAAAGGCGTCCACGGACGCCTGGACGCCCTCAATAGCCGCCTCTGGAGGGTTGGTTCTTTCGGCAATACTATTTTTTACCAGTTTGTCACAGATGATTTAAATCTTAGCCAAATTGGCGAATATAAATTTTTGAGTTAACTGGTCCTTTAATAGTCAATAGTTCTATGTTTATTGTTTACATATGCACTGACGGGGTATCCTAGGAAGTTTCTTGAACTTTATGAGATTTAAACGAAACTCAAAAATCTCGCACAAAGCTCGCACGCGTTTCATCGAAGTTTTCACAATATAAAAGTGCAATAAAATACACATGATCGCACGCCATGTTAAGTTCCTAATTATTGTGTCCCTCAACTTTTAAGTTAAACTTTTTCTGTTTTCTTATTTATTTTCTTGTTACATTTTTTCTGTGTTTATTTACAAATTTTGTGCGATGAGCCTAACTCGCAATATCGCAATCTCGCATGAATCTTGACCTGGGGGTATGACTTACTACCACCACTGGTTCGAGAGATTTGTTAAATCGAAAAATATTCGAGTTCATTATTTCAAATGAAGGTTCATTTTTGCATTTATTTGATAGTTTGTATAGTCGGATCGAGTCAAATTTTATTGAATTGTGTTTGGCCATTCGAATTACGTTTGTCCTGAAAAAATGAGAGTTGTAGCTTCTCAGATGGCCGAGATAAGAAGCAGAACGAGTTTGATAACTTCGTCATTTCTAATCTGTTTCACGTCATTTTTTCCCGATCCATGACTCGTGCCGAAGGCACAAAAGAGTTAAGGACAAGGTTTAGCGAACGAGTTTTTTTGTTGTATATGGTAGCTTTGCGACCGTCGTGTTTCGTGCGTGTGTACGTGCCTGCGAGCCCTGTTATCGCCCACGTGACTACCTGCGCAAAGTTATTTTGCGTGATAATCTGAATTATATAATTGTTGGCGCGCGGCGCTGAACCAACCAAGTACATTATTAATTTCATCATTAATTTCATCATTAATTTCATCATTAATTTCATCATTAATTTCATCATTAATTTCATCATTAATTTCATCATTAATTTCATCATTAATTTCATCATGTGCGTATCCCACTATACAAGGCACTAATTGATAGCATATTATTATTATTTTGAGTTAGTATTACTATTTTGCACAGATATCCGTGTCAGGTTGCATAAACAATAAACATATGGTTACATACTCATAGAAGTATACACGATTTTCAAATTCAATATAGAATTATATTAACTGGGCAGCGCTCGGCAGTCGGCATGTCACTTCGCCATATTTGCATGTTTATATAAACAGTAAAGACTGGGTCGTCCCCAGGTTGTATGGAATATGATAAATACGCCATCACGGATCGGGAAATTGAGCGGCCATCCACAAAAGAAAAGCGGCTGCATTTCTTGTTTCAGATCCAATGCACAACGTGTACAAATCTACCGTCTCTGAAAAAATCAGGCATCCAGCATGTTCAGAGAGAACATGTAGGTGTTTTAATTTTTAATGGGCGCGGTCTGAAATATTCGAATTTTCAAATTTTGACAACTGAATCCTCGAACCAGAAGGTACAGTATGCTATCTGCAAAGCAACAGCTCTCAAATATAAAACACGGCGGAGCTATTAAGGCCCACCCTGTACCCTGTACCCTCCGTACGGCGCTATACGTAATATATGTTAAAAGCGCGCCGCAGCTACTCCCTACCTCAACATTTGCGCGGGTTTCTTAAGCGCGCACGTACGTTTATTCTTGGCCGTTAATCAGACCCATGACATAACGCTATAGGTGGCAGTGACTGTAATTTTCTTCAACAATTACTGAATTATCCATCCATGAAGTGATTTACAAAATGACACCTAAACCTCGTGTTTCGGTGTTCACTTAAACGGTACTTGGCGGCTGAACTGTGGTGTCTGACGTTTGCAGCTAGATCGGACTCTGCATGATATTGTATTAGCAAATTTGTACAGTGTATAATTGTTTAGTGTTTATAATACTCTGCAACCTGGTAGCACGGCTGACACAAAAACAAAATATTGGCCTGGCTTGTGCATAACCAAGTAAATAACACGCACTCCGATAAAAGCCGTCTGGAGAAACTCCACAAAATGTTCATTGTAGTCAACGGGCACAAAGAAGCACTACTAGCAATTGTGTCCTTTACCCTCCTACATAATTTGAACATTTTTGTGGCTAACTCACTGAACAACATCTGAATTAAAATGTGTCTAGTATTAAAAGATTCAGTAAGTAATTTTTTCATGTACACTGTACACTGTAGTTAGTAAATCAAATCAAACTTTTTCGATCAGCCGCGCGCTGAACCAGTGTTGCACTAGGTAAAAATTGTGTATATTTTGTTCATTTTTGAGTGTAAATTAATTTATTAATTTATCACAAATTATTTTATTATAATATAACCACTTATGTGAAATGGTTATTTTGACTTTAAATATTTGAACTAAATATGAATTGATTGTGGGTATAAAATAAAATTTGTTTTACTTTAAAAAAATTTGTTTTACTTTATTATAGCATAATATAAATTTGTACCTACTTAATTGATGATGTCAATCCTTTGCATATCGGCGACTCTGAGTGCATTTTGCCGATCTAACGCAGCCCAGTAGTGTATCGCACTACAATTCACCTACCTTAAGAGACATATTTACAAGGTAGGAGTCGGTGGTTTTCTGAGTATTTTTATATCTTAATCGCTGTGAACAAATTAGCATATGAATGAATTTTTCATATCCTCACCTGGTATTTTATAGCCATGGAAGAGGCAAAGATTGCCTTGACCTGTTGTCAAATCAGAAAGAAGTCAAATGCTACAGGAACAAAGTCATCTGTTGTTGGTAGGTCAACATGTTTAGTAGTTTATTACTCAAATGGTACTTTTAAAAATTTTACCTTGAAACGTTTGATCTTTTGATCTGAATTGTTTATTGTGGATTGCTAAATTTTGATATATTTCACACTTCACAGGTATAGGGTGCCTTGTAACGTTACCAGCATCAGGACTTGTCTCCATATATCAGGACAGGCTGTGTATATTATCCAGATATCTTAAATTACCTCAGATTTCGCTAGCGAGAGATTGCTTTGTGGTATTTAACAAAGTATGTAAATTAACTCAATATAATACCTATTTAATATGTACCTATTATTTTTGTTCTGTTGCTATGATACTCTCAAAAGCTGCTTGGCTCTATTGACAATGCAGGTTAGGTTGAATATTATCATCTTGAACCACTTTTTTCGTTAATAAAATATCGTTATTCATTAATGAATTCATCATAAGAATATAAGCTGTCAACTTTACTGTCTATGTTTTCAGGATAAGAGAATACAATTAAAACCAGATCGGTACCTGGAAAGCTGTCCAAAACTAGGGTTCACATTGGTCGCCTGTGAACAAGCAAAAGTAATGAGAGATGATCAGCTGAAGCCTGTGCCTCTCATTTATCAGAGGCTTAAATTAGGCGATCCATTCTGTAGTGTTAGTAAGTATTCACTGAGATGTAATTAGGAAAGTTTATTAAGAAATTCCACCATGGTTGTTTAAGTTGCTGATAAGTTTTTTATTTTATATTAATAATTTGTATAATAAATTTGTGTAATAATAATTTGTATCTAATAAATTTTCATAGTATAATTTTGGATCTTTTCTTCTAAAAACTTGCAGCTGATAATCTGTAGCCAAAGTTAACTTTTATCTTTTGACCAGCGATAAATAACAAGGCGAATTTCAGAGCTTAGTCCAAATGCAACTTATGGGTATACTAAGACGGATCACAAAGTTACTAACTTATCCTACAGCAATATCAGTTACTCTGTTCCATCACAAACTAGCAGTCTCAAGTAAGTCTTCTCCATATATATATTATAGATGTAACTTCTTTGTTACTCCTCAGTTAGTGTTTGTTGAGAAAAACATTCCAATTATTATGAAATAAAATTCACCAACTTGTAAATTTTGCATTCTTATCAAGGGATAGGATATCCAAATAAACACAGCAATTTGAACCTTCACTTGGTAGTAAATTTAAGATTATAACGACATCACTTTTGATGTTGTAGGCATGTTGACGAAAGGAAAGGCTGTTCCTTTTTTAATTTTAAATTTATGTTTTTGATTTCCACTATTTATTATTCAGGAATCTGCTTGACATACATACTATTTGTTTGATAAATGGGTATGATTTCTGAAAACTGTCTGATCCTTTTATCTTACAAATTAACATTGATTATCTGTATTTTACGTTCAATATCGTGACACGTATTATTTTTCATATCATATTATTTGTTAATAGGAATTGGGAATATTGAAACAAAAGTTGTCTTACTTGAAAATCTTACTTAATTTTTATTTGGATGAATTTTAATGTTAAGCTCAGTGGTATACTTACTTGATTTGAATATATATATATTGTCGACATTCAACATCAGGCCAGTCGAGCTCTTATTTGATAATTATGTGCATATTCAGCGTTTTATTGCACGGTCAGCCCCAATATAATCGCTTGTTGACATATTCGTAGATTGTTATTTTGGAAGATTGTAATTGTGATAAGTGATTTCCTTTCAGGATCTCAGCAGGAGGACCTCTGCTGTCCACTGACAAGGGAGAAATAGTTGGTATTACAAGGGGTCTCGCGGGATCTGGGCTCTCAATCAATGCAATTATCCACCACATACATGGTTTTTATTAAAATAATGATATATCGGTCATACATCCGGATCCCGATGGCACTGTCGAGGCACTCTCTTGGCATTCTCGTGCCATCTAAATTATTCACAATTCGGGCCAGGATTTTTCTACCGATTTTGCAAATTTTATTGTTATAATGTGCATTTATCAGTATTATTTATACTATATTATACTCAATAACTGTCAGGGTTTAAAGAAAGTGATGGCACGGAAGCAATACTGCATCAACTGGAGCTCTTAGAACAAGAAGATATAGGGATTGATAAGAACCAGCTGAAGATGAGCGCTTGTCAGGCTCTTAGCAAACTGGCTGCTAAAAGTGGTTGGTTCCCAATTCTGCATTTCCTGTTCAGATATATATAAAGTTGAAATATCATAAAAATAAAAAGCACACTTGAGCTGAATTACAATAATTCACGTAACCTGACACATTGTCAGTATCTATTTATCTGGTCCACAAAGCGTTATATTGTCAGTAAACTCCCCGAGTCTATGTTATATTCTAACGGGGTGTGCCCCAGTAACCATCCTTCTAGTAACAACTCACACACAACACGTTTACTTGCTGTAATCTAGTAACTTGTCACGTGACAGATTATAATGATATATCGGTTCACAGTTAGATCACATTTAGGGAACACTATCCACTTTACACACTACTACAACACTACTTGTGTGAACTGGTCAACACAAAAAGTGTTCAACATTCAATAACCTCACCTCACAGCTCTTATATTTACAAGCTTCAATTATCACACACATTCAACAGCTCACCTGGTCTCAACTCATGTAGAAGCTAAGTCACTTTTATTTCATGGCATGTGGGGTATGTAATTGTAAGAGTGGTGCCTGATGCGGAATATGTGGGACCCGGTGGTTTGATAAGAGATTGGATCTGAAGAAACTAGGTGCCTGGTGTAGCTGCTGTACTACTATTATAATATGGTGATTAATACAATATGCATAATATATTATATGTACAGGGATGTTGGGTAGTGCAGACTGCAGAACCTTATTGTTGAGCATAATAGATAAATTAATCTGACAGTGACTCATACAAGTCATAAATTACAAATTCTCAAAATAGCATATATTCTATTATTAGCTATCTAAAAAAATTCGAATGTATGGTGTGGCACTGTGACCTGATTTACCGTGGCTATTGGCTGGAATGTAATGCCACACGGCTATAGGGTGAAGCATACTTTTACATCCCTCTGAATAAACAGCATGTTATGATTTAATTAGTACAGCTACTGCGTATAATCGGTTATTCGGGCATGTAAACACGCAATTAGGCAGGAAATCTTTCAAGGATTATTCGAGAACAATCTAAAAATCCTCAGCTCCGTTATTGGAGTAGGTTATTATTATTAACTTATAGCTAGGTTCTTGAACTACAGCATTAATAGAAGCATCGCCAGAGTATGATATTTATAATATTGCGCAAATTCTAAATATGACGTTTTATTTATAGCTATAATAAAGCGTAACCACACTGTCCATCGCTTGACAGTTGACATTTGTAACAGGTATTATATCACCAACTTCTGTTATTGCCAGAACTTTACGGAATTTTCTGTTGAAAACACAAAAGCTTTTGCACTGTCTATATTGGTAATTGTTGTTAATTTACATTGGATGAAATAAGTTTGTAAATGAGTCTGTAATGTAACTGCAATTAAAACGTTTGTAATTAGTTAATTAATTAATAATTGACCCAAACCACCATATGATGTGTTTCACAAGACAATGTGGAATTTCAATTTCAATACTGCTTTAATTAGACATTTTGATTGTTTTGGCAACATAATATGAACACTTTTAATCAGTACCCATATCCACAATTTGTGCTATTCTAATCTAGATGTATGTTAATAAAATGTTATATGAAAGTTACTGTGGTTGCAGCTCAATGTCCCATTACCTCATTGGCTTGGGTCCGGCTTGCAAACCCCATCTACAATGTTTCAGCAAAAACTAAACGACGTCATTTCTAATTACACTGGTTTTAGAACTGATAAATAATAAGCAGAATGTTTTGCATACTAAAAGCTAAAACCATATTCTTATCGTCCAGATAATATTTCTTAAGACGTTCTTACCGACAGAGTATCTCAGAACGTTTCTTATAACTTATCAATTAAATCTCTGCATCATCATCATTATACGTCATGATCCCTCTCTTGCCTTTAAAAGTAAAAAAGTAAATCTTAAAATCTGAATATCATTTGATTGAGATGGCCAAAGAAGGTATAAACTAGGTCCCTTAGTGATGTTGTCACCTGCTGCTGCATGTACTATTACTACATTATACTGTATTTAAGGTTAAAAAGTTGAGGAGTTGGCGACGAACTTGAATTGAAATTTGCGGCATTCTTATAATCTGTAGAATATTGAAATGCCAGCCAAATGTTACCTTTTTAAGTGGTACTAATTGCGCTCGCTGGAACATACCAGTTCAAAAATGCTGCTTTGAACTATTTTGAAGCGCCTTATCTGTAATTCTAGTCTTTAAAAACGGGTAAATTGTTAGACATTGATATTATGAACTCATTTTATAGAATTTTACACCTCAGAAATATTGACGGCTCTATGTTATGATTTGCTCTGTACTGTGGTGCAAGTTTAAACTTTAAAGCATCATATTTCACATTGGGAACCAGTTATAAAGCATTGTATTTCAATGGAGACCAGTTATACAGCATTGTATTTCGATACTAGATACGTACAATGTAACAGTATACTCTGATATTTGCAGAATTGTTTTCTAAACTGCGATCAATTAAACAATTAGGTACTGTACTTTAGGCTGTAACACAGTATAACAGTAAATTTAGTATTTACAGTGTCTCAAGTGAAAGGAAAGTGTAGCAATGTATACTGGCAACTTTCCTGGCCAATATGAATAATAATATGAATACTGGCAACTTTCCTGGCCAACATGAATATGAGTACTGGCAACTTTCCTGGCCAACATGAATATGTATTGATCATTACAGTTACCCTGTTGTAAAACGTTGTGACCTCTCACAGCTAGCTGTCAAATGGTTACACAGCAATACACCTTCAAATTCCAGTCCGATCTTGTGTTTTCCATCAAAATTCAACGATCACATAATTCCAAATTCTTATCTTCAATGATCTAATTAGTTTACTTTACAAGCCTTCCCTAAAAAGGTATTGTTAAAAAACCACGAGGTTTTTAAGGAAATTTATAAATTAAATGATGAACAAGATCTATACTTAAGATTGAAGATTAAAATATTGCCGGTATAATATCAGTAAACTAACAGTGTTTTCTCTTTCCCACAGTTAGTGATGTGGAGTGTCTTGTATCACACGAGTGTTTCCTCTCCGTCATCGTCTCCTTCCCGAATGAGAGTGAACCTAACGTGGGACTGTTGGGGGCTACTTGCAAACTCCTCACCATAATCACCTCCCCCCAAACATGTGAGTCAAACACAAGGATTTATTTTATCCGTCAGGTACAAAACAGTCAAGGACTAGGGTTAGTGATCGGGCTGTTTTTTGTATACAGAAGCTTGCTTCCGCACGCACGTTTAGTTGCTATGGTAACATTTGATAATTTATTTTATTTCCCCCGATCGGGAAATTTAGCGGTCACCCACATAAGAAATGTGACCGCATTTCTTGTTAACTGAAAAACAGGCATACGTTCTGTGCAGCTTAATTGTGAGGCGTGATGATGATCGTACACAACAGTAATAGTATGGCTGAATGAATAGTCCGCCGTCTGATAAGAGACAGATTAACCAAAGAACTTTGAGGTAAATCAAAATAGCCATAGTGTCTGACAACAAACTCGTGAAGTACTGAAATAAGCACTTTGAAAAGCCAGAATACGTAAATAGAATACTTATAACGGTTGTGAGGTCCTAAATCGTAATGTTATCCCCGATATCCCCATGACGGAGACTAAGATCTGTTGTTAAATGGATTTCCACTCTTTAATATTAGAGAGGAAAGTGGTTCTTATTTCTTATTTATTTATCTGCGTTGTAGTCAGCCGTCTTTTAATACTTGATAGTTAAATGGGTACTATTCGTGATATATTTTAGCCATTTTCGATGAGATTCATATTTAAAATCTTTTTTAAAGCCAGATTTTAAATATCTTTGCAATATCTTTTGGCTCATCGTCTGTTCGTGTTACGGTGCTGTTGTTTATCTTGTTGTCATGGTTCCGAATGTTAGTACTGGTAAGATAATGTACTGTATTGTTAGTTTTTACACCCCATTAAATACACGCTTGTGACTTTTGTAACAGTAGACTATTCACAAATTTGTCACATGATCGAATTCTGAATCATACGAGTCGTGTTCCCATGGTCCCAATTTTAATTTGAACTTTTAAAGTAGACTTATATGCAGAAATGTTCAAAGATTCAAATTATTATTACTATTAGTCCGTGGATCTTATGTTTTCCAATGATATTCATCATCATGGACAGGACAATTAATCGCCAGTTTGACTTTTTACTGAAACTTTCTATAGCAGACAATTAAACCTCATGATTATGTTATCATCATGCCACAATCCACATGGCAACATGTTTATAATTCCCAGTTACTCCATTGTTTTTCTAATCGTGTACTGTCTTACTCACGTTTTACCTCGGTAAATTGTACCTTAACTGATTGTCTACATGATGTAAAGTGTGTAAACACAGTATGTAAACTTCTTTTTATTAGTGTCACACTGCTACAATTGTCGTCTAGTGTTTTTATTAACAGTAATGTTTTCTTCCTGCCTATATAGCATTTTAAATGTGATTATTGTGAATTTATTTTGGATACCTTAAGCTTTAACTGTTATCAAACTGAAAACTCATCAATCTAATTTTTGAATATAATTTACTAGCTTCACCGTTTATTGCTATAATACAACCCTTTTAAATAACAAAATTACAGTTTTTTACCACTTTCCAATGATTACTATAATATGTTCACATTGTCATAACATTGATAGTCTTCTCGAACCCTTCTGGAGAGCTACATTTCAAGACGTTAACATGCCCGCATGTTTTTTACAGATAATGCATGTTAAACATGCATTATCCGTAGAGTAGAATAGAACTTGTTCTGCAATTAATTTAGTCCTAGTAGTAAACCCGCGATGGGGTGGCATGTGCCTCAATAAAAAATATTACAAATCATTTATTATTATATCAATTTATCGTTAAATATTTCAAAAATATCAATAACGTAAAATATATAAAAATAAAGTTAATCTACACTAAAGAATAAATAATCTATATTATATAAATCAACAATATTAACTCCCCATCTTCTTGTAGTCATTTATCCTGACGAGGTAAGGAGATTAGTAGACTCCATAGTACATGATCTTATCTTATCATTCTCCTCAAACTGATTGTACACTACAATCCTCAAACTTATTGTACACTACAATTGCAATCCTTAAACTGATTGTACACTACAATCCTCAAACTTATTGTACACTACAATCCTCAAACTGATTGTACACTACAATCCTTAAACTGATTGTACACTACAATCCTCAAACTGATTGTACACTACAATCCTCAAACTGATTGTACACTACAATCCTCAAACTGATTGTACACTACAATCCTCAAACTGATTGTACACTACAATCCTCAAACTGATTGTACACTACAATCCTCAAACTGATTGTACACTACAATCCTCAAACTGATTGTACACTACAATCCTTAAACTGATTGTACACTACAATCCTTAAACTGATTGTACACTACAATCCTCAAACTGATTGTACACTACAATCCTCAAACTGATTGTACACTACAATCCTCAAACTGATTGTACACTACAATCCTCAAACTGATTGTACACTACAATCTCAAACTGATTACACTACAATCCTGATGATTGTACACTACAATCCTCAAACTGATTGTACACTACAATCCTTAAACTGATTGTACACTACAATCCTTAAACTGATTGTACACTACAATCCTCAAACTGATTGTACACTACAATCCTCAAACTGATTGTACACTATACTACTCTAGTTCATATCTGTGAGATGTGTAATATAAAGTGGAGCAGTGTGGCAGTTATTTAACTCGTTGTGCTAAGTATAGCAGTCTGCAGTTAGTGGGACTGTGTTAGTGGGATAGGTGTGCAAACATTTTACCATATTTGGAGGAGTCTGTTGTAGTGCGGGCAGGGGTGTAGCCCCCCCCCCCCCCCCCGCTTCCTACACCCCTGAGTGCGGGCCATTATTTTAGTTAACCTTCAGTTCGAATATCTGGATCTTCCGTTAAATTGGTTGTCAGTATAACTGAAACTATTAGTAGTAGTTTGAAGAGCCTTGGAATTATGAGCATAAAAGTAGGGTTACTTCGTGACATATTCAATTCATACCACATGATATCCAATTCGTATTAGGTACAACTAATGTTCAAAATCATAAAATAATTTGATGATTACTGACTCATACCTATAAATACAAGAAGCTGTGCTGTAACCACCTGTACTTTGGACGATACTCAACCGGTTTAGCTTAGTAACTACCTCCTCTTAGATAGTTCTTACTGCGACAAAAGATCTTATCAGCACCTCCACATCTAGAGTATAAAGTCAGTTTATTTTCTAATATTTTTCCTTTTCTCTGTTTTACAAGAAACTTGTTCTGTTAACTTTCTGTCTGATAATAAGGGCTTTTTCTCGCGAGTGTTTTATTATTACCTCGATTGCAATGCTGAAGATTTCAAATGTGATTTGAAGATTCCCAAGAATGGCGAAACAACTACAAGCTATTCTTGAGAATGGCTTGAAGTTCTGCAAAGAAAAGTTCTGCAATGGAATAAACAGTTGAGTAATTATAAGCATCCAGATATTGTGTAAAAGGTACATAGGCTACGATGGTAATGTGGTTTAAGTTTGTTTTGAAACGTGACAGTAATTAACCAATCAGCTTGCAGCATCGAGCAAGGAAATCTCGGTATCATGGTCACCGGTCACGTGTCACTGTCACGTCTCGCTGTCACGTGTCACTGTCACGTGTCACTGTCACGTGTCACTGTCACGTGTCACTGTCACGTGTCAAAATAAACTTGTACAACCTCTGTCCTCTCCGTTATATATTATCTAGTACCTTCAAGTTCATTCATTAAATACTCATTGATTGCAAGTATTGCACATTCGAACAATGATGTACATTTTACTGGTCATAATGGACATAAGTTTCAATACCCACAAGAAATGCTCCAGCATATATTTTGTGAGCGGCTACTCAATTTCCCGACCGACAGTGTTTCATATTCCCGTTCTATGCAAGTGCCAACCTAATCAGTGGATCACCCTGAAAATCACGAAAAATATTTATATGATGTAGTAGCAAACTTAAAGCAATATCTAGGCCCAGTATAGAGACTTTTTACTGTACTGATAGCAGTTATGTGCTATGTTTCGTTTTTCGCTCTCTTGAATTGGTCGATCATGATTGATTGCTACCAGGTACGAAATGAGACTGTTATCTATATTAAACTAAGCAGGTATACCATGCATATGATATGCTCGGTTTATACTTTTATATTTTAAGGGGGGGGGGGCCAATGGATATTTTTTTGTGAAACTTGATTTCGAGATAGTAGTTGACCAACAAACTAAGACCAGTGACCGAACTTTTGAGGGGGTCCCGGACCCCAACCGCCAAACGGTGCGCGCAGGGCAGCCACGCCCATATTTGGTCCAAATTAGGCCCAATTTAGCCAAATACCCTGAACATGCCCAAAACCAAGGTTTATGGTGCTCTACTTGTAGCTAGTGGTCTCCTGAACTCGTATATGAAATTTCATCAAGATTGGACGAAAAATGACTGAGTTATGAGCCAAAAACCATATGCCCATATTTGGGCATACGCACCAAATTTGGTAGATTTCGGCCCATAAATTGATCAAATATCAATATTTTTGAATGAAACTTACTTTATATGAAAGGTAAGCCTAAACTACATATTATCTGTAAGTTATAGCTTTATATCTGTTTAAATGTGGATACTAAGGCGAAAAAACCACAAAAAATGAACTAAATTGCCCATATCTCGGTTCGCGATATTTGCGGAATTGATCTCATTAAAATTGTAACAACTCAATCAGTTTTCAAAATTTTTGCATGAAATTTTCGGAATCGACTCGAAATTGCATTTCCACCTTATTTTAAATACGGATTTTTGATTTAGGCCTCCAAAAAAATTTGGCGGCCAAATTCCAAAATTATCTCACAAAAATTCAGAATTTGGCCGCCAAATCTAAATGAGTGATACACCCCACACGTACACCCCTAGGGCCTGTAGTGATACACCCCACACGTACACCCCTAGGGCCTGTAGTGATACACCCCACACGTACACCCCTAGGGCCTGTAGTGATACACCCCACACGTACACCCCTAGGGCCTGTAGTGATACACCCCACA